TTGGAGCCGTAGCGGTTCTTCTTGTGCTTCGCGCACGGCTCGCAACGCGTCTTCGTGCCGGAGAAGCCACGCGCCGCCAGGGAGAGCTGTGTGCTCGCGCTGAAGATGAAGCCGGCGCCGCAGTCGCGGCAGACTCGCTTGAGGTCACGGTACACGTCTCCGTCGGGGCCCAGGACCGGCTCTCCGTCACCAAAGATGCCGTCCATCTCGGACGCGTCCACCGCAGAGGCGGCGCGCTCCTTCTTCCTCTTCGCCGCCCCAGGCGGAGCGGCGGAGGGAGCGGCGTCGCCGCTGCCCAGGACCGAAGGCAGAGCGGTGGCAAAGAGGTCCACAGCGTCGAGGGCCGACGACTCCTCCGGCTGTGGCGGGATGTCGCGCCTGCGCTTCTTCTTCTTCGGCGCGGCCTCTGGCGGAGCGGCAAGCGCCTGCTCGTGCTGCTGCTGAGCCGGGCCCTTCTTTTGCCTTCGGCGCTCGGCCTTGGACATCGCCGCCTTTGGCCGGCTGGCTGCTGGCGCAGGCTCAGTCGTTGCTGGAGCCGTTGCCGCTGCCGAGCTGTTGCCGATCGGCATTGGCGTGTAGCCGGTCAGCAGTGTCGTCGGCTCGGCGCCGGTGCGGGAGACGGGCCCCAGCAGCTGCGCTCGCAGCTCCGCCGCGGCCTTGCGCGCCGCAGCTCCCGCCGGCGCCACGTCCTCCGAGTCGCGCTCGGCGGCCGCCTGCTGCGCCAAGAAGTGATCCGAGCGGCCGGCGGCGGCGACCGCCTTGCCCGTGTACTGGCTCATGACCGCCCGCGTTGCTCGCGCGTCTCTGCCTAGAGTCCACGTCCCCAATGCGAGCGTGACGAAAAAAAATCTTGGGAAGACAATGTTTCGGGGTGCCACACGGCGCACAGCACAGACGTATTCTAGAGGGGGAAAAGAAACGGGGAGTGTGGGGCCCCGGAGAAGTGCGTTTTGGGGATGCAGAGCGTGCAAGGCGGCTAGGGATGAAGCCGCAAAAGAGGTGGAGGCAGTCAGTCAGTCAGTCTTACACACCTCCTAGCATGGAGGACGGGCCCACACGCACACACACGCTGCACACGATTGGCTCGGGAGCCGACACGAGGCACGCTGTCATCGGCCGTAGCACTGGGTCCGCGGACTGCTGGACGCACAACACACAGCTCACAGCACACAGGACAGCTCACGAGGTCATGTCCACGGGTCCACGCATAGATTCCAAAGCATTGTAATTGCAAAGGGGGAAAGGTCCCTCGACCCCGCCTGCAACACACTCGCGCGAAAGCACACTGCTGCTCCGCACGAGACACCCGTTGCAGGACCAACCCCATCGCCATCCATCGTAGAAAATGATCTCAAGCACTGCCCCAGCCCCTCAGCCACTACACCATCATAGTCACTCGCGCGAGTCGCTCGATGCGCGAGGCGAGGTTCAGCAAAAAAAGTATTATCAGGACGTGGGGGCGCGGAGGGCTTGTTGGCGAGCCAAAATGGTGTTTTCCGAGGCGCTGCGCTAGGCTCAGAGCGAGTTCGCGCTGCGCTAGGCTCAGAGCGAGTTCGCGCTGCGCTAGCTAGGCTCAGACGGCGAGTTCGCGCTGCGCTAGCTAGGCCCAGACGGCGAGTTCGCGCTGCGCTAGGCTCACAGATGCGAGTGCGCTGCGATAGAAGAAAAAACAGGGGCGAAACGACAACCGAAGGGAGGACTGTCCCTCTCGGTGAGGCGCGCGTGAGGCAGCGGAGGGCAGAGCTCGACACACCGAGAGCGGGCGCGCGTGGCGCGCGTGAGAGGCAGCGGAGGGCAGAGCAGCGGCGTGCATCCCGTGCCGCAGAGACCCTGCGGCGAGGCGGCGAACCAGGAAGCCACGCCAACCGCTATGGCCAGGGCGACGGCTCCTCTTCCCCCGCACGCACGACGCACGAGCGGGGGGAGTGAGCTAGAGCTGTCAAACGTTAACTTTGGGCCTAACAGTTGCACTATTGGCTGAAAATCCTCAACGTTGTTCAAGTGTTCTCCCCAGCCCAAGCTGTTACTGTTTGTTACTGTTGTTACTGTTGTTCAGTGGTCAGCAAGCAGAAAATGCCAAAAACCCCGGTAAAACCCGAAAATACCTGGGTTTTTCCAGGTATTTCGGGTATTACCCGCACTGGACGCTGGAGATCGTCGTGGGTCACTGCCAGGCCTTCCTTATTGTTGTTCAGCTGGCCTAACGTTAGCTACTGTTGTTGGGGAGCCCAACACTGTTCAGCTCTTAACGTTTGACAGCTCTAGAGTGAGCTCCGCCCGCCGCGCGCGCCTGTGCCCTGTGCGCCACGGGCCACGCTGTGCAGGTGCAGCGCTCGGCGCTGCCGGCCCGCCGCGCGCCACCCGTAGCACTGGGTCCGGACTGCTGGACGCACAACACACAGCTCACAAGGACAGCTCACGAGGTGGCGCTATACTAGTATAGTGGGGTTCGCGCGGGGGACCGACGGGGGACGCAGGAGAGAATGCTTGTCTGGGGCGGCGGCGTGGGGTTAGGGGTACTCGCCAAGTGTACACACACTAAATATAATTAATCACGCGCGGACTGCGCGTTTGCTATACCGCTAGATAAGACCTAGACTACTCCGGGGGCGAATTCAGAGCCTGCTACGGCTCTACCCTCTACGCGCTGTGATCGGGACGCCCTCAACGCGCCGCTCCGCAGGCCGGAGCATGCTCCGCAGGGGGTTGATGGGCCCTCCCATCGCCGCCTCCAGTGCTCATAGACGAGCTGAGATGCCGGCGCCTGCGTGCTCAGCGCCGCGCACACGTGTCGCAATCGACAGTCGCGCGCCGCCGCCGCGTCCGCCGCCCCGTCCCCCGGATCACCGCACTGTTCCACCGCCTCTGTCTCGTTCTGGCGCAGGTCGGCGTAGAATGCGGCCTTGGCGGCGGAGTAGGCGGCGTCGCGCAGGTGGTGGCCAGAGTCAATCGCGCGGCGCGCCTGAGCAAGACTGCGTGAGACCTCGGGTCGGTGGAGCAAATGGAGTCTGTACTCTCGCTCGCCCTGGAATCTGTACTCTCGCCCGAGCTCTCATGAGGTCGCCCGAGGTCGCCCGAGATTGCTCGAGATCACACGCGCCTGCCGCCAGACGCGGCCGACGGCCTCGCTGCTCGCATTGCTCCGGTAACTTGGAGCACTTGGAGTCACATCGT